TTGTTCTTAACGGTGTTGCTCTTGATGATGTGTTTTTCATATTTCGGTTGTTATTTATAAGATTGATATTTAAAGGTGCAACAATTCGTGCAGAGAGGCCATTCAACGACCATGGACCAATGTCAAAATATATTTAAGTTTAAATCATCATACACTTGATGACGTCGTTGTATTTAAACAGGGAGGTCAAGCTACACGTTTTTAATAGAACGTGTTAATCACTGCTACCCACCTAGTTACACAGACGTATCGTCAGTGTATCATGGCGGAACTACTTCCGGGACTAGGTTTCGGTAAGATTTTTTTATTTCCCAATTTACACCTACTTATAAGTCACATTGTGGATAATAATTTGGCTCGAAGTTAAGGAAGATAGTTTAGTTTGAGAATGTGTCGATGGTTTTAGGTTTTATATGTTAACGAATACACAATTCACGTATTTAGTCCCTCGCTTTTGTTACACTGACGAACGACCAATATCAGTGTAATATTGGCAATATTAATGCCGATCGTCAGTGTAACAAAAGCGAGGGACTAAATACGTGAATTGTGTATTCGTTAACATATAAAACCTAAAACCATCGACACATTCTCAAACTAATGCTGAATATGTGAAATGCGTCTTCGTTAACATACCAAACCTAAAACCATCGACACATTCTCAAACTAGACTATCTCCCATAACTTCGAGCCAAATTATAATCCACATCGTGACTTATAAGTAGATGTAAATCGAGAAATAAAAATATCTTACCAAATTCAAATCCCGGAAGTAGTTCAGCCATGATACACTGACGATACGTCTGTGTAACTAGGTGGGTAGCAGTGTTAATGAACGTGTACTATTATCACTATTATGACACCCGGGGATTACTGTTCTTTCCCCTTGATTTGGTTGTGAGCATCATGCAAAGTCAATTAATATTTTAAGGATACAGGCCCGTAGCAAGGAACCCCCTCCCCCTTCTTTCAAACTTTCAAAATCATTCAGTGTTTCACCATTTTAAGCACTTTTCAATTGATTTGGGCCATTTTCGGGTCAGAGATGTCAAAAGTGACCCCCCCCCCTGGACTTTATCAAAAAGTGAATCCCCTTGGCAAATCCTGGCTACGGGCCTGATATATATACCCAATACTCAATTTCTACCCATTAATAGATTAAAAAGAAATACAAGCACGTACACTATGTAATGCTTACACTACCGTTCATGTTCACCATGAATGAATGATAGATCATATTCACGGACACAACCCAGATTTCATAATACAGTGACTTTGCTAGGCAAGGGACTTTTAAAAGCGAACTTGTCTGCATGCTCGTTCCAATAGTTATCAAACTGTTCTAAAACTAAAATTAAACGATTTAATGAACATCCACCAACAAGCAACACACGATGGGTAAGATCACCTAAATATGCGATCCTAAAAAGTTCACAGTAAGATGTGTTCTGGTTAGTGCCCTTGATATTAGTTACCATCTAGGAGTGGCTCTACAAATAATATTCTCATTTTCGCACCTGATACTCCCTACACGATATGTATTCATATTTTTTAATATTGTCGATATGTGTTCTTATAATGGTGTTCAATGACGACGCAGTGATAAAAGCTTGGTTTGTATGGACAAAAAGTATTCAAAGTCAGACGAAATTGGACCTTTCGACAGTATTTACCTTAAGACATTGATGCTGAACTGACATACTATCATAAACCTTCTAGAGACACTGGAATTGGGAAAATATGGAAGAGTTCGATTTCGGATCACAATGAACTTCTCACATGACCTTAATCTACCAAGAATGACCTTGACCCACATGAGAATGACTATATCAATGCATGCAGTGCTTTCAATTCCCATGATCAATGCTTAAAGATATAAAAAGTCTCCTAAAATAAAATCTCATTTCGATATCTCATTGGTAATACGTAGATGATCAATTCTGAAATGACTCGAGTTATGGCAAAATAGAGAACTAAACATCAAAGTATTAACACTTTCTAAGCATTTAATGAAGACTTTTAAGCAGGATCCCTCCATTAATGAGGAATGTTTTTCAAAACCAGGCGGTTGCATTCTGTGTCACCCTTTATCAACTCTGAAGGAACGAACTATCTCACGTCTTGTCTTTAGAATCTCAAGGTTGAACCGTCTTGAACACAGACTATGCGATCATAATTCTTCATCGGTAGATTATCTAGGTCGTATATCCTCTCACCGCGACATTCTCATTACAGAAAATCTATATAATCTAGGAAGACTTGGTAATAATTCAATTTGGGGCAATTACTACGGGACATCTGTTGCTGTTTTACGGCGTTTCTGACATGAAAGTCAGGAAGCTGGAAGATTATATTAAACAGAAGATGTTTCCTTGTCAGTTAAGGAAATATTAAGAAAATGAAAGACTTGAGATACTTCTCAGATTTTTGATGACAGTTTGCTTGTTTGTTTGTTTGTTTGTTTGTTTGTTCGTTTGTTTGGTGGTCGATACAACCTAACGATGTAGAAGCGAAGTAATCATATCAATTGAAAGCATTGTTTTACGAAGAGTGATGGTCACTCGCATATTTTTGATGGGTAGCTAGAATACATCGTAGAAGTTATTCTGGGATTGTGGAGTCGCTATATATACATTATGCAAAAGACAATTTGACAAATTAACTCGACGAAGTAGTCCATCGACACACGCGAGTCTTGCTTGCATGAGATGGAATGCACTTAGAAGTTGATTGAAATTACTTTCTCGTGATGCTTTCTTGTGATGCTTTCTTGTGATGCTTTTTCTCTTTAACAAATTAAATGTTTACTTTGAATATCACATTCTGTTTACTTAAAGATCTGTTCCATAAGGATTGTGGCAAGTTTCTCTCACTTTTATAAGTAATATAAGGCTATACGTCAGAGTTCTTGTCTGAGTAGCCGATGCTTTGTAATAAAAATAAACATAACATAAATGTACATTTGTAATGATATTTATTGTAAATGTTGAGTCAAAATGACCACATAGTTAGACATTTTTACATAGTATGTAAGAAATCACATTTTAAATATTAAATAGTATTGCCTGTTTATATACAAGATTTAAATATGCATTAAATAAATAATAGTGATAATAAAATAGTAATAAATAAGATACAATCCCCATTACAGGAGCTAGGGTAATAAATATACACAATATAGCATCATAAATAATATAATGATCGTTGATTAAAACAACACCCCTTCTGCCTAACTGAGTTTAGCACATAAACGCGATACATTAATAGCAATATTCAAATTCATAACATGTTCGGAAAAACTATATTTACCTATAGAAAAAACTAATGATCTTTTTGATGAAGTTTAAAGAAACTTGGGGCGTTGAATTCATTGTTCGAAAGTAATCAACGGAATTAAGGGAGTTATATTTGATACTCCACATCTGATGTTTTATTGGTGCGTGTTGGAGATCTGATTTTAACAGATAACCGTCGCGCCACCTGTTACACTTCCCCCATTGTTTTTTTCTAATTTGAATTTGAATCCGAATTCCACTACACCGGTGGTACGAATGAACCTGCTAACAATTTCTCAAGTTTCATATTGGTTGTTTTTATGATGTTTTTATTTATATTTGTAATTGGCATTAAGAGGCGATTTATTACGCTATCGGGCTCTGATTAAAACACAAAAATGGAACCATCAGTGTTGTCAATGGTTGCTCTTAGCAACAGGCATCAATTGTACTCCTCGGCAGTTGGCCATAATAAACATTAAACCCATAACTGTTGCTTTACTTTTGCTCACATTGGATTATTTCTTATCAAATCAATCGTTTAAATAATCACATCAATTCTAGATGGAAATATACAAACATGAGTGAAGCATACGAATTCATATACATTCACTGTAATTCAGAACAAATGCCAACAATCTTAATTTTATAAGAATACGAGGCAGATTAAGTGTAAAATGATTGTAAGAGTATGAAATCCCAAAGGGGGTTATCTTTGTTTCAAATACATAAGACAGATGGTTGATGAATTGCAATGGATTAGCCCTTTGTGGCACGCAAAATATCTTTAATAATTCACATTCTGTGTTCTGTATTTGAATGTATAATATATTATACGAGTGCATTGTTTTATGTACAATATTAAACTAATGCCATGTACTGAGAGACCTTAATATTTTGGGGTTTAGGCCCCTACAAGTTAATATCTGTTAAGCGGACCAACCATTAGTTGGTGAACTAATACATTCCTGTCTAACCAATCAAATTTTCTGCTTCTTAGGAAAATATATCTTTTAAAATGCATAGTTTGACAAATATCTTTGCGTAGATAGAATGATATAATAAGTTAAGGATTTTTTCTCTTTACTTGGAGATTTAATATATTTGCTAAATCTATAAAGATTAACATGTAGAGGCCTCATGTCACGTTGCACTTGAGATTCATGACACGCAAGATTAAAATATTCTATAGATAATAAATAAAATTCTACCTATTAATAGATTAAATAAATAAATTACATAAATTATTAATAAACAAACACAAAAATACATGTGTCTGTAATAAAAAAATCTCATTAACACAAAAATCACACGCTCTTCGTATTGAACAATCGCCAGCATAAATATAACATATACACATGTAATACATTTGTGACCTGGAATGGGCTCCAGAAAATGAGATCTAGAACTATATTATTGAACGCTTGACACAGATACAACACATAGACAATACGCTATACACATGACTAGATGACTCGTGGTACCCAAAAGGCTACCATTAGTATCCCCTATATTGCACAACCCCGCCCTTTCGTTGTCTTGGAAACCTTGCGTTACCATGGTTATTACATAATAAATATAAAGATAGTGAAAAAATATATAAAGGCCCCTTGGATGTTTCATAAATACAAAATATTGCACAAGTGCTCAGTCTTGTATCATAAATCGTCGTTGGGGTCTTTATTTTGCACCTATGTTGCATAATATGCAATTATAAAATTGACACTCATGTCATATTTTTGGAATTTTTAATATAAAATCTAGATTATGCTTATTTAAATAGAAGTATAAATATAAGTACCTATGCTAAGTACAATATGGCAGCTATATACATATCATTTTTGTAAGTTGGAAGTCTTTGCTTTGCATACTTGGAATTATTTATAATTATTGTCAGAATTTGTCGGCACAATATATGCACATATAACGTGCACTATATGCTTGCATTCGATTCCATATCGCTGTCAGGAATTATGGGTATTTCCTCTCCTTTGAAACAGGCAGATTCATAATGCTTGTTAAGGTAGGACTTGAGGGCAAATGTTTTATTGCATCGTTTGCATGAATACTCTTTATAAGCCGAATGAGTCTGCATATGCGCACGCAGATTTGACCTATCCGCGAAGGCCTTACCACAGTGCGCACAACCAAATGGCTTCTCACCCGTATGTGACCTCATATGACCTTGTAGCAGCCATGGTCGACTGAAGGATTTGTTACAGACCTTACAGACATGTTTCAAGTCATGTGTAAGAATGTGCATAGAAAGAGCCGGCATACTGACGTAAACTTTTGAACAATGAGGACACTTCTTCGCTTGGCCACTGTCTAAGGATCTGTGTGTTTGCTTGTGACGGGAAAGATTCGAACTGGTGGCGTATGATTTCCCACATTCAGTGCAAGAATATTTTTGTTTGTCTTTAGTTGAAACTGGCTCGGGGATGGAGTTTTTCTTTCTGGAGCGACCGTCTGTTACGAAAAAGGCATCATAAGTGTACCCCACAGTGTGTGAGGGGTGACCAAAATTGTTTTGTTGAAATTCTTTCAGTTTCTCTTCCACGACCTGGTCAATATCTTTGATCTCCTCCGATGACCGTGGACTTGGGTGAATATCGGATTCACTAGTCGTACTCTGTTCACCATCACTAGCTCCGTCGCTATGGAGACTGTTACCAGGGGAGATGACGTCTTGAATATAGCCTGGAAGAAAAATGGAAACAATAAATATATATCTTTTACAACAATGTAGTACACATATAACCAAAACAAAAAATCGCCAGAAGTATGTTGTAATGAACAGTTGGGGTTAAGTCACACACTGTTGATAAACTTTCTCACGATTGAATTACACCTTTACGATGAAAGAATGCATTCTCACGGTTATCCCAGGGGCTACAATCGAGTGGCATACGGGCGAAAAGAAACCCCAGGAACTTGGCTACAATATCTGATGCCTATGCATGCTATCATAGAAAAGCTAACGGATGGTTATTGTTTAATTTGCTTAATGGTTTATCCCTCTTATAGAAGAGAGTAAATGTATCAGTACTAGAGCCATACATTCACTTCCTGAGAGATATTGATTATGTTAGATGAAGTCTGGGGACAAACTCTAATCAAAAAGCGAGGGGAATGTAACGTAATTTACAAAGTGGGGAAATTGTAAGCTAACCATGGTCACGATGCACTGAACAATCCTGCTTAACGTAATACAGTTTCAGACCTGTCAGTTATGGCCGTGAAGATATTTATCACCGGTTATAACCAGCGTATATGTTCCCAGTGGATCAAATCAACGCAGTTAAGCTGGTCTTTGTTCCTTAAGGGTTGCGAGAATGTTCCAAGAAAATCTATACCGTTTTATTGACTCCGCAGGAAATTCAATTTCAGTACAAGATCGTAATATTCTGCGATGCATATTAATGACGGGTACTCATGGTATATGCTGTATCGAGTACCGCATCAAGGGCTTGATGGATGTTCGGAGGCGACACACAAAAGAATGCAAATGAAATAAAAACAGCATTTACATCTTCAAGTCATAAACTGCCTTTACAGGAAGTGTGGTTTTGGGTTGCACTAGAGAAATGAATTAGACCTTTTAAAGAGGAATCTTTGATGGCAGATATATGCTAAAATGCGCGTGTGTAGTCGTCAGAAGCAGCGATAGAGACCCCAATTAACGCTGTTGTGGAACGCTACTGATCGTGCCCCGAGTTCATTAAGATAAAAAATGCAGATAATCTCAAATAAATGTCATTGTGTATTACAGAAATCATTTTTCACTGTAACAAATTGTATTTTCAGATTCCGGTTAAGGTGGGTGAAAATCCTATTTAATCACATGTTGCGCGTATGTGATGTTATGGAAATGCGAACGGGGTAGAATTAGTGAGTGTGCCTATTGTGTCGCTTCGTGTAGAGCACACTGATTATTAGTTCCATTTAGTAAAATATGTCCACGGGCACGTGCCGCCACGTGTACCAAACTGTGCTTCTCAAAGGAGACACGAGAACACCGTTAAGCTCTGTACGAAATTCACAAAATCACTTAGGTCAAATTATTCCATAGTTGATTGGAGTTAACATAAGTTAACATATTGTTTCGTGATTAAATGGCTTAAAGGGTTCACAGGGTCTGACCTGAATTAAGCCCGGCCCTGAAGTCAGGCTTTTTTCAAAGGTCAATAAGAATCTCGGTGTGCTGTTTTGATTTTTTGTTTAATTGTGGGATAAAGGTACTTTTTGTCTGTGCGCTTTTTGTTCTTTAATTCTATTTATAGAATATTCACATATATGCATTGCATTTCCGAACGACTGAAAAACACTGACAAGTTCGCCAATAAGGCATTAAAGAATTTCAGAAATAAGGCCGCTAACCCATTAACCAAATTAACTTTGATGCGGGTATTGCAACTAACACACGCTTCCTAAATTATACACAACACAACGAAGTCAGATACAGCAAAAGTCTACAGAGCATATACAAAAATGGTCATGTTTGCGTGTGAACATAACAAGCCTATGTTACTTGCATATTAATGAAAAGCTCTGTTTGTGCCGATAATGATAGCATACAGGCAAAAATAGATCCGTAAATCAATAGAAGTGTTCGGACTTTGCCTTCTCTGGCATATATCCCGTACTGACAAATACAGTTCATTAATCCGAACGTGAAGGGAATTTTGAACAATGCGGCAAATATACTACAGTTGTGTTTTTCCTAGTTTCGTTTGCCATCGTTCCACGGTTCCATCTCTGTCAGGATGATATGAATGGATGCGTTTTTTGAAGGATACCTTTTGTTTTATATTTGTCAAAAACCATACAACACTATAAAATGTCATTTTCGAGGTCATTGGTCTATTAGTGAGCTCAGACTACCTAGGTAACGAGCACCAGGTCGAAACACGTATTAGAGGAGATAAAACACCATGAATATAGAAATAATGATGAGGGTAGCGCACTCCCCCGACACCCCCGCGTAACCTCTAACGCGATCTTAGAAAGCAGAACAAGCTAATTATCGTGATAGGGGTGAAACATAAACAATAGAACGTTTCAAATCCATCAACATAGAGTATTGAAAGCCTTTTTGTGATGACATAATTCTCCCTTTCGCGGTTCGCTCTTTGAATCAGAACGTTCGCAAATATGTACTGAAAAAGCACTCAAAAAGGACAACATTTGATTGGTCAATATTTTCCCACTATCCATTTCGCGTAGCTATTTGCGTGACCCGAAAGTTCTAAATCAAACTAATTACGCAATTTTGTTTTTACACCCGCACGCTAAATAAAACAATGACACCATCGGAAGTATTCTTCGTTGTCATTGCTTTAATAGTCAGTATACCGAGTTTAATCAATAAAAGATTGTACAATGACCAACAAAATTCGGAAACGAGTATTATAGATTTGCTTTCGGACCACTGAACAGATTGACCTAGTTAATAGCGACGCGTCTTCTTTGGTCTACTGCTCAGTTGTTTGTGGGTTTTCAACGTAACTCTATAATGTAATTTGAAGATGAATACTTTTATTCAGTTGTTGCATCGATGTTGCAGTTTGTAGTGCGGTAAGATTGTCAGGAAAGTATTGAAAGTCGAATGGAATTGTTCTTTCCAAAATGGCGACTAGTCAACTGATCACGTGACCTTCTCTTCCGGAATATTTTCTCACTTTTCCATCATCGTTTTCACCACGCTATGAATCAATACAATGAAAAAATAGCTGTTATATAAAGACTAATAAGAGACCAATCGTTTCTTATAATTTTTTCTGTACTCTCGTACGGGAATATGAACGAATATATCGTTTGAAAAATAGGTGTGAAAATCCCCATGTTAAACCTATGAGGGAAAACAAGGAAGTATAAATTTGTTCCTCTGCAAACTGCATCATGGGAAATATTTTGACCTTATAAGGAAAGATTTTCACGTCTCCTCTTTTGAAGAGGGAACAACGATTTCGAGAATTGGAGCACGCAATTTGTTTTGTGAATCAAATATTTGCTGGTTTTACATTCGATATATTATTCAAAGCTTGAATTTTTAAAATAGAAATAAAAGATCAAATACAAAAATCACAGTGACATTAAAATTGGCATTACAAATTGATGATTCTTGCATGTTTCAGGGGCCTCATTGAAAAGATAATTTGTGAATAACCTTGATTAGGACGAACATTTGTTAATTATATCTACACATATTGCTCGAGTACGAATCAATCGCTGATATCATTTATGAAGCCCAAAACCACAGAGTTGTACTGGAAACATTTCATTAATGAATTCGTAACCATTTAATTTAAAAAATTACAAAAAAGCAAAAATTAAACAGATGGGTTAACTTGAACGCGCAGGAACATTATTGCTTTTTACAGGCAATACTAACATGAAATACTTATTTCAACCTTCAAAAAGCGATGATAATCTCGCTGATTTTTCTATATCGCCTGTTGCATTGAGTAGTGATTCTCTCAGATGATCGCTGTTTGTAACATTTAGATGATGACTACAAAGCGGATTGTCTTCCATTCCATTTGATAATTGAATAATCAGGATAATGAATATGCGTATACCCTAACCCTTGCGAGAAATACAGAATAACACAGGGACATATCTAACGTCATATTTAAAAGTTATGCAACAGTAATTGCAAAATTTTATCTCTCGATTTCAATGTGTTTTTGCGAGAGAAACGATAAGTTTGACTAACATGAATTCGGAAAAGTGTCATTGGTTACACTTGTCCATGGGATTGAATTCACAACACATAGCCAAGGAATGCACAAAGAGAAAGTCCATTAAAACAGAAAGAAGTGTGATTTAATTGGACACCAAGAGAATTTTGGACTCATCCTAAGAATCATTTGTTTTGCAAAGAGCAGGGGTAGCTTTTGTCTAGAATTTCGAGCTGTATTCATGATTTTTGATTTGTGACATTTCTGACAATTTCTTTGGGGTGAAGGCTTCACTCGAAATTCTCTACAGAAACCAAATTTCAAGTAGATCCTTTTTTATTTTAACAACTTAATTAATTTGTTTAATAATCGAAGTGTTTCAGATAAAACTACAGAGCTAGAGTGTGCTCTTATAGTATTATCTTGACCAGGTGTGAAAACCAAATATCGGGAGTGCTCAAATCTGTCAGGAAAAGCTTGCAGTTTGTTATTATCCTGGCATTAAGAGTTCATTAGTTACGATTTTTACAAAAAAAAACGGCTTTAAAATCCCACCTGATCGAGTTTTGATCAGATTTTAGCAGAAATATTTGTAATTCTATTCGCTCCGTATGACATCTCATTAACCTTCAGTGATTTCTCTAAATGTGTCATGTTTTACTATTTAATACACACAATTGTTGCTGTATTTCTATCAAGGGTGGATCACTACTTGAACGTTACTAGGTTCCCTATCGTTCTGTCAATAGAAAAAAAATGCTTAGGATGACATACTTACCATTTGAGATTCTGACAGCCAGCGGCTGGATGGACGGTGTGAATGGCGCCAATGCCGAAAATGTTAAATCCGTGAATACTGTCCCGGGATCACGTATCCCTTTATGGAAAGGCAGTCCAAATTCATCGTCAGATGTCCGTATTATTTTTTTCACTAGGAAGGATCTTGGCATTCTTGCCTCTCTGCCGCTAATGTATTAAAGTGCAATAGACATGCGCACTTGGCACCAACGTACCCCTCAGAGACGCTACTACTAAATTATGGAATGAGAAGATTATCCGATACACGGCTTATCCCTAGCAGAATGTTTCGTCGAATGCAAACTCTCGAATTGCAGCTGCTTTTACGTGTTCAGTTGACTCTCCTTGGGCTATAGCTGTTGTCTTCAGATTGCGCTTCACCAACACACCTAGTTTAATTATCTAAATACGATTCCAAGATGGCCTTAGTTACTTTTCGTATGCTGCCTTTGACAGAACTGATTTGTCGCGTGCCGGTCTCGTGCTTTTAAATCTTAACTTGGAGTGCGCGTGTGGATTCACGAGCCATCGACCAATCAGAGTTGAGCATTCGTGCTTACCCGATGATTGGTCATCAAATATTTGTCGAATTTCTTTAAGTGTGGATTTCACTGGTGTAATATTATTTTCGAAGTGATTAATTTCTCTACTAATTCCAATGGAACGAAAATTATAATCTATGATTCACATATCCAAGAAACGTCATTTTTAATAACTCTTTGTTGGTCCTACTTTTCTGACAAATCGTTTAGCTGGCCAACATCAATAAAAATTATTTTCCAAATAATAAGCGATATTGTGTGGCTGCTTGCCCCAAATTGCCTGGTTCGGTGGGGGTTTGGGAACGAATAAAATATTTAACATCTTTGTGTGTATAATACATAGGTGTATAGTTTTTTCAATGGTATTTTTAGATAGCGTGTTGTGGTAGCTTTAACCGGTCTTTGAATTACAGGTTCTGGTGGTAAAATCTCGGAATCGATACAAGCCTATTGATTGACGTGAAAAACAACCAGTTGTAAAAGTTGTAGTATATCCAACAAGTCTGTTATTTTCACGTGAAATGTGATCGTAATACAAAGATTAAACACGATTACTATATAGTATCCTTAAGCTCCATTTTACTGAGACGATTTGTCTTAAAACGCCCGGATTTCTGATCCCCACTTTTTAATGAGCATTGGCCTAATTTTCGTAACGTTCAAATTAAAGGAAATACAAGTAAAATGACATTATGTACGGCAAGTAAATATGATGGAATCTTATGCAAAACGTCCACGAGAACGTCATAACAATTTTTTTACATCTTGACGCATTGAATTGACTGCATTTGATATAATTTGATAAATACATTTAGTAAAATTAGTGATGAACACTGTTAAAACGCCAATTTATTATAATTAAAAATGGTTTGTTACATATAGCATTACATGGGCAACACACACCTTAAGATTGGGTCCTTAAAGACATTTCGAAAAGACGTGAACTTGCAACATTAAATGATCTTAAATGTATAGGAATATTAATATTGCATGACGCGTCTTATTAATAATATTATACATTTCTCAACGAGCATATGGTAAAGCTGGGCGTCCAGACAATCTTTCTAGATTGGTTCAATTATTTACCAATTCCCCTGCAAAATTAGACAATCAAGTCAAGTTTGTGTTTTTGTTTAATTAAAGATGAAGGCTCGCCTAATGCTCAATCTAGCAATACTGCATTTACATGTAGTTTACCTGTAATCACCTGTGTTGTTTCTCGCTACACTCTTCGAAGGGGGTGTCTGCGTCTCACTTGGATGACGTCAAATTAACACCTAAAAACGGGTGGGAAAATAAGGGATAAATTACATCCAAAAAATGATATACAGTGCTGTGATAATGCTGATAAACTAAAACTATAAAAATGGATATTTTGGATATTGAAAAGAAGCTGGGTTTAAACTTTAGGACATTTTATTTAAAATCCATCATCTGTACCCAATATGATAATTTTTGAAACTCATTAATTAAGGAGATGTGATGACAATCCGACCCATAATCTCTCTACCACCTGTTATTACCTCCTGCTAGATTATATAGACCCTACCCATATATAAAATATCAAAATCCAAAAATGATAAAATAAAGACTCAAATGAGAAAATGTGTAAAAAGCATAAAGTCTTAACTGCATATCATTTTTTGATCGACAAACTTGGATTTTAGATATTTCAGACGAATATTATCTTCCCAAATTAGCATACCCCGGGAGTTATTAAATACACAGTAGGACAGTTGCATTGATTGGATTTCACCAATCTCTACCAAAATGAGCCTTAATAATCTATAATATTGACATTTGTTTGAAATTCTATTTTGATTTGATTGGCGATTGAATCATCTTTGTAGTAAAATATTGAACAAACTTCAATTTTGCCGGTCAGTTATTTACAAGAGTACCAGAAGAAAACTACTTATATAATTGATTTAGTAATCCGAGATGTGTTTTTTCATAAACTAAAAAGAAAATTAAAACAATAGTTTTAAAGCGATAAGCGAACTGTCCAGCAGCAGGCGGTAAGACCTTTGGGAGTTGGGAATCTATACACCACCTGTTTATTTATGTGTTAAACACAAATCAACTTTGCTCGGTAAATTGATAATATGTACAAATTGCAATCTAGACCTTTTCAAAGAGTCGCAATTGTATAAAAAAGAATTGCAAAATTAGACTAACAAATATACTGAATACACTAGAAAATGTTTAATGTGCTATTTAATTTCGGTTTTAATGTTGAACCCCTTGGTTTCGATTTTTTAATAAATAAACAGTCAATATTTGCAGAATTAAGAAAACGAATGCAAATACATTTACAATAAATAAACCTGGTCAAGCAAGTGGATAATATATATTATAAATATACCTGTTAAATGAAAAGATATGAAAATACCAATTAGGAAGTGGGCGTCTCCGGGCCCTAGCCAGGGGGCAAACTTTCTTTCAAAAGCATGCATTTTCATCATTCTAAGCACTTTTCAAGTTATTTGGGGCCAAGGTTGTCGAGTGTGAACCTCCCTGGAATGTTTCTTTTCCCACCTCCCATGGAAGAAGCTGGTCTTTATCACCCTAAACGTATAAATAGTATGATTGTTTGGACGAAGAAATTAATTCTGTCACACAACTTTCTTTGTATTTCTTTATTGATAAGTTCTCCTAATCTGACATTGCAACGCTATCGTATGTCGTTGTTACATTACCTGACAGTGCCACTCCGGAATGTCCAATATATACTGACATCAAAATAGCGTTTGATTACGTGATTAAAATTAGTGGCTATTACAGGTCGCGTGGCATTATTGTTGATCATTTAATGGGGATTGTATTGGCTAAATCCCCACCTGTTAGTCCAAGATTGGATTATATAACAATCAATATTTATATAATTGAGGTATTGTTTGCTGGTTCTAGACAAGGGTGACCTTTAACAACATTACTATTCAATGTTGGCTAACAACTGCTGTTATTTCAGCGGGCCGAGTGAGATAATTATATGCAATTATTATAACACAGTCATTTCGAATTGTTTAATTAGCATTTAAGAAACACTAGATTTTGCGCAGACGGCATATTCTAATTCATGGAAAGTTTATCCACTTTTACATTTATTATAGCCTATTTGTATTGTGTAATGTTTCATTAAAACTAAATAAGGACAGTATTTCCTGACGCAAATTATTCGCACATTTTTTTATTATATCTTACACAAAAACAGTGTACACTCTACATCACTAACATACAAATCCATACATAGCATAGAATAATCATTCACACAATCATACTATAGAAATGCATTGATAGTCATATTGAAATATTTGTTAAGCAATGTCTTGATTTTGTGAGGAAACCAAGTATTTGGTTCGAAACGCAATAAAATCTAAAATCTTGAATCTTGTTAAAATGTTACAGCATGTAGTTTTTGCCCTACGCTTGCAAATATTACAAACAATTTATACAATTTACTATTTTCTATGATTTGGTCGCACTTAAGGTGTCATTTGGACAAAAAATGTTGAGGGGAAGAACAACTAAAAGACTAATATTACCTACATATAGTTTAATCGTTTTAAGAAACAGCAAAATATTCTAGCAGGCCTACACGCGAGTTAGATCTGCAAAAGCATTGTTTAAATACATGCAAACAGAGTATTTTTTCTTAAGTGGTGACATTTAACCTTCGCTTCTTAAAAGAAAGCTCCGTCTACACTCGAGGGTAGTTTAGACTCTGCGCGCAGGGTAAGTGACATCGTGTGTTACAGAGTCAAAGAACTGAATTTAACCTTGAAATCATCTGTAACTGAATGAGTATTATATCATTTATCTCGAAAAAAAAGAGTTAAGTGTCTTCAATTAAAATAAAATACGAAACTACAAAAATGCAAATGTCTGCTCGTCTATGAATCGTTAGACTTGGTGCTTTAACAATCGACCGAGATATAACAATTTGTGTATAAAACATAAATTATTCATGTAAATCAACCAAAGAAATATGACATTTTCTCATTTTTCTTTGCACTGGTTATTTAGTTTGTTCTTCAAGGAACGTCTAATCCACTTGAACTGGTCGAGAGAATTGCTGAATCCTGAAACAAAGGCCTGATTGCTATTGTAACGTATGTACATAGTGCTTCAGCAGTATTTATTGGGGAGAGTGAATGTTTAGTTTCCTTAACTCCAACAGGTGGTCTATATAGGAAGTTTTCCTGGAGGATCGATCATTCTGTAAACAGGCCGATCATATTGGAATAACTGAACTAGACTGTAAATGTAGTTATTGTTATAGGTTTACTTGCTTTGGAACTCATTGTCACCATTGCTATTAGAGATATCGAACTGTTGAATATTCATAAAAGGTTCATGGCAATTTATAATCGGGTTGTATTATATTTTACGAGAAATGTCAGGATTCGGAAATTAAGGGAAATTAGCGGAGTATGGAAAGAATAGAGCACCACTACCTGTTACTTAACTTATTTAACAGGAAACTACTATTGCAAAAAACTATCATTGGAAAGCTTTGATAATTACATCGGTAATGAGCTGTATTGAGACCGCATAACTGAAATTGCACTAATCAAACAAGTCAATGCTATAATCAAAATTTCGTGTCA